ATAACATCTCAAGATAAAGGCATGAATATATACACAACAAAATGATATCACAATATAATGTATGTCTCTCGTCCTCGCCTGCACGGAAACACCCTTCGTGCCATGAATATATGATAACATAAAAATAATTGCACAGCATCACCCTTCGTGCTTTTACTCTCATCCTCACCTGATAATATAAATGAAATAGCACGGCATCACCCTTCGTGCTTTACACTCGCAAATGGTACGGCATCACCCTTCGTGCTTTACACTCTTCCTTACCACGCACATGTATATCATTAACAAGCAAGGTAGGAAGCATAAATAATATCAAGGAGAGTGTTTAAACCACAACACAATACAATAATTCATATCACCATTTTCACCGACCACAACCAAATTTCAAATATGTAGCAGAATCAATAAATTTATCAACAAATAGCCCAAGGCTCCACGCAACGTATAATAAACCTCAAAACAATCAACAGAGGTGAAAAATACTCAGTATAGGGCAACGCCTTCATTAATCCAAATTCTTGATAATTATATTAACTCCTCAATTTAAATTAATTAATAAATATTTGCAGATAAGGGTTTCATCATGGATTTAATTTCAAGAAAATATCAAATCAATAAACACATGGAATTCACGTAAAATCCAAGTGACAATAATACTAAATTTATTATATAAAATAATAACTTGACAAACAAGGAACGAGGCGTGATAATTCAAGGATTTACTAATGCCAACAATTATCTAATTTAATACATAAGAATGCCTAAAATTTTAAACCAAGAAAATTTGTACATATAAGCCTAAGTACGTACTTGTCACCTCGCGTACTCGACTTTTCACATTTTACAAATGGCACATAAGACTCGATGCCTAAGGGGTAATTCCCTCACTCGAGGTTAAGCAAGACACTTACCTTTTTGAAGTTGTGCCGATATTCCAAAATTGTATTCTTTCTTGAATTGACCTCCAGACCGTCCAAATCTATCCAAATTAATTGTATAACTTCATTAAAATTCATCGGAAACAATTCCGGATAATAATACGTCGACTTAAAAATTTATTTTAAAAAGTCAATAAAAGTCAACGCGGGGCCCGCTCCTCGGAACCCGACATAATTTTCATGAAATCCGAACACCTATTCCGATACGAGTTCAACGATACCAATTTTATCAAATTCCAATAACAACTCGACCTTCAAATCTTAAATTTTCGTTTTTGGAAGATTTTGCAAAAATCTTGATTTTTTCCATTTAAATACTACATAAATGATGAATATAACCATATAATCATGAAGTATAATCACTTTAGGATATAGAACACTTATCCAAATTCATATGGTGAAAATCGCCTAAAATGTCGCTTCAATCCGAGCTACATAGCTCCAAATATATTAAAAATGACTGAAATCTCAAAATATAGCTACTGTCCAGGTATTTACTCTTCGCGATCACGAAGCATAAAAATTTTTCAGCCCCAAAATTGCTCTTCACGATTGCGGAAAACCAATTGCGATCGCGAAGAACAAACTCCCCAACTCTTTCGGACAACCTCTAGTATAATGGTCATATCTGTTTTGTAAAAAACTCTAAATGATGAATGGTTTAACTTTCTGAAAACTATATTCCAAGAAATATAACTTTCATTTGTTTCTCATCTCCCAATTCCTTATATATTTTGAGATATAAGCTTCCAAAGTCAGCCCTATGCAACAAAGATTTCCAAATTCTTCGCGGACAGCCTGTAGTATATCTACCATAACTTTTTATACATAACTCCAAATGATAAATGATTTATCTTTATGAAAACTAGACACAAAGGGCTACAACTTTTGTTTTTGGATCATCTCCAAATTCCTAATAGATTGTGAGATATAAGCTTCCAAAGTCGGGTCAGTGCAGCAGAAAATATCCTCTACGCGATCGCGAAAGGCCTTCTGCGATCGCGATTCACTGGCCATTTTCCCCCATTTTGTGCTTCGCGATCGCGGCCAATTCCACGCGATCGCATAGCACACTGCTGTAGCCAAAAACCAGCAGCTATAAATGACCTAGAAATGATCCGAAATAACCCCGAAACTCACCCGAGCCCCTCGGGACCCCGTCCAATCACACCATCCAGTCCCATAACATAACACGGACTTGTTCGAGGCCTCAAATCACATCGAACAATATCAAAATGACGAATCACACCTCAAATCAAAATCTATAAACTTTGAACTTTCAAATTCTATATCTTGTGCTGAAACACATCAAATCAATCCGGAATGACTTCAAATTTTGCACACAAGTCATAATTGACATAACGAAGCTATTCAAATTTCCAGGATCGGATTCCGACCCCGATATCAAAAAGTCAACCCCCGGTCAAACTTTTCAAAAATCTGACTTTCGCCATTTCAACTTTAATTCCACTACGGGCCTCCAAATATTTTTTCGGACACGCTCTTAAGTTCAAAATCACCCAACGGAGCTAACGGAACCGACGAAACTCCATTCCGGAGTCGTCTTCACACATTTTCGACTATGGTCAAAATCCTAAGACTTAAGCTTCTGTTTTAGGGACCGAGTGTCCCAAATCACCCCGAATCATCCGGTAACTGAATTGAACCACGCACGCAAGTCAATACACATAATACGAAGGTGCTCAAGATCTTAAGTCGTTGAACGTGGCGTTAATTCTTAAAATTACAAGTCGGGTCGTTACATTTTTATATATACTTTTAAGACTTTATACAAAATTTTATTTAAAAGATGTCTAGAAATAATTAGATCCTCTCATGGGATATAATATTTAATAGAACTATACAGTGCATTCATTTTTATTTACTTTAAATAATGGATTGTATCACTTTTTTATTAAGTGTTATTGAAATGTGTCAATCATCTCTTTGTTCTTTTATATTTATATTTCAAGATGATAATCTAAAATTACATAGAGCATATCATTATTTAGGTGTCATATTGGATTTTATGTTTAATTATTAAATTCGATTAACCTTGAAAGCGTGCATCAACTAAAAATTATTGTTAGACGGCTAAGAAAATAAAATATTATGTGTTACTAAAAAAATTCTCCCATAAGAATATTTTAATAGATCATATGTTTGTTAATTTCTTTTTAATTTTTAGTAAGCATATATTCAGTTATTAAAACTTTATCTATACCTTTAATAAATCAAGATTGAAATAATATTCATATAACAAAAATATCTATAACTTTAATAAATTAAGATTGAAATAATATTCATACAACAAAAAATACTCGAAAAATTCGACAAAATCAAACTAATCCAAACCGATATAACTGATTTAGTTTGATTTTGATAAAAAAATTCGAACCAACCCGATCCATGGGTCGAATTTTCTGATTCATCACTATAGTTGCTTGTTCACCAAGCACCTTCTACAATTTTACCTTTTTAAGTTTATCCAAGACAGTAAAAAATGAAAAAAGATGTTGGTAATTCCAAAATTACCGCAAAGGTGGTAGCACGTGAAAACCCAACACTTCTCTGCATTCTATTGAATGAGATTGGAAACAGGCTGTAGTCTTTGAGTCTTTGACCTTACCCACCCCCCCTTTTCACCCCCACCCCCAATCTTCTGACACACACCAGAAAAAAAAAGCCCAAAAAAAAAAAGGAAGAAAGAGAACAGAAGTGAAAATGAAGAAAAAAATTTATAAGAAAAAAAGTGAAGTTAAAAAAAAAAGTATTTGGTGTAATCGCCTAATGTTGCAACACCACTCTATATATGGAAAATTTTGTTTAGATTCGATGCATGTTCAATACCAGGTTAAGTGACATAATTATACATAGTAATTACTTATATAGATAGAATATATATTTGCTTTCGGTCAAAAATAAGCGGTTGTGGTAAATTAAATTTATTTTAAAACACTTGATTTTTAAGGGGGAAAAAAGAATTTTATTAATTAAAAAAATACTTATGGAAAATAGTCATATGATTAAATCTAATGTCTTTTTAATAATACACAAAAACTTTTAATAAAACAAATATAGCATGGATCGAAAAAGTTTGTCACGACCCAACTGGAAGGTCATGACTAGAACCCGGGCCATACTTGCCGAGCATCAACGTACATTTTATCTAACCTTCCTTATTATCTTTAAGGGCTGACAAGACCAATATAAATGGTAGACATGGATCATAAACATCCAACAATGAAAGATAATGTCATAAACATACGTAACATGGGATGACAAGACTGTCAAGAAACTATATATAGGGTACGAGCTACCATGGTGCCATGAAAGACTATACAACAAAAATCAACCGCCAAGGCATTCCAAACCATACATAATAATTGTGAATTAACTATGAGTATGTTATAAACCTTATATAAAAATCACATGTTTATGCAATTAATGATTTGATGCATATAATATATTTTTAATTACCTACATCATAACATGATACAAAGCTTCAATCTAATCTTAATACATTCCCCTCTTGATCAGGAAAAAAATAATAATGATGACCATTTCCTCTTCTATTTTTTTAGTTTGATTTTCTTTTTAATAAACTATCTAATATTCAGAACTCACTTATTCAGCTGCGATCATTTAAGAAGAAAATGCTCTGTATCAAATGAATTTTCGTTTCCGAATCCCGTTTGGCCATAAAATATGGGAGTTTTTTTTTTCAAAATTTATTTTCAAATATCTGTTTATTTATAGATTTTAAATTTTTTTGGCATATTTTGAAATTAAATCTTTAAATTCCCAAAACAACTCTAGAGTAGTTTTTATAAATTTTGAAGTTTTCTTCCAATAAAACTTTAAATTTTTTTAAAGTAAAATACATGTCAAAATAAATTTTAACTTTTAAAAATTATTTTTCATCTAATTTTCAAAATTTATTTTTTCAAGTTTCAATCAAATAGTTTGTAAGTTGACTAACAGTCAAGAAAACTCATCATATCCTATGTGATTGTTTTCTTCTTAGTTATCGTGGGTTCATTCTCACCTAAGGAAAGAAGCGAGAAAAAGGAAAAAGAAAAGAAGAAGAAAAAAAAGAGAAGAAAAGGAGACGCAAAAAGCATAAACCCTAGACAAGCCTCCCATCTCTATTTGTTTGCCACGTGTCATCAGCCACAAACTCCTTAGATTTCCCCTTATTACCGAACCCAATTCCTCCATCTTCTTCAGTTCTTCTTCACTCTCTATCTCTCTGTTCTTCCTCTCTTCTTCTCTAACCGCTCACAAAATTTACAGAGCAAAAATGGAACAAAACAAACCGTGCGTTTTGCTCAATACATATAACGAAGATGAAATACAAGTAGCCAATATTCTACTCGATCTTCCCAATCTTTTCACACAAAAACAATCTCCTTCTCATCTTTCTTATTCATTTAGTTGGGGTACAAAAAAGAGGAGATCTAATAGAAACGGTACTGATTTTTCATCTCGTGTCAACTCATCTTCTATACAGGGAAGTTCAAACGAAATTGAAACTACCAAAATTAAGGCTGAAGTTACTAGCCCTGCTACTCCTCTTTCCTTTTCCCCTAGTGAATCTGATGATAAATCCAAACATTCTTCTCGCAAAATCCTCAAACGAAAGGTACTATTTTTAATTATTTTTCAGAACTATTTTTCTGAGTTTATATTATTCATTGAATTTGAAATCTGGTTTATGTCTATTGACTTGTTTTGATGCCGTCTCCCCTGTTTCGGATTTTTTTTTAAAAAATAATTAATTAATGGAGGAGTGGGTTATTTTTTATATAAAATTTATACCATGTTGCAACTGAATTTCTATAAATTTTATGTTTATGGTTTTGTTTTAAATTGCTGTTGCTTGGTTTGTAGACGAGAGAGGAGTTAATGGATATGATAAACCAATTATCTCAGTGCAGAGAATCGCTTAAAGGGGTAAGTTTGTAATTTCCTTAAGAAATTGAGTCTTTTTTTTCTTTTCTTAAATTATCTTCAGTACTTTATTTTTCCTGTTTTCTCAAACTGTTTTATTTTTTCTTTATTTTTTATATCGGAATTTGGACAGGAAGTGGAGAATGTTCGGAATTTCTACAACAGCCAAAAAGCTTATAATCTGAAGTTGAAAGCAATGAAAGAACAGGTAAAAATCTCCCATCTCTATTTTTAGGCTTCACCATAAGAATCCATATCTATTTTTGGTAAGAATATTTTCCTCTCACTTATTTGAGAGGTGGGCCCACATAATTTTAATTCACAAGTTTGATTATTTTTCTATTTCCTCGAGTAACCTAAAACTTATCTGCTCATTGTGTTATGATTAATTAATTAAGATAAAAATAGTATTAATTAACTGCGACATGAAATACATGTAGGTTGCTCTGAATATAATAAAAACTTATTCGCACTCAATATTATACTAAGCTAATCAATGCAATATGTCTTTCTGACATATTTTTTTCATGGTTAAGTGATGCATTTACACGTTAATTTATACTCTCACCGTTCACTTTTACTTGGCATGTATACTAAAAATAAATTTTTATTTTTATTTTTATTTGTCTCTTTACGCATATCAAGAGAAAATAATTTTTTTTTCCTGTTATACCCACAGTATTTATTATTCATTTTAAATTATTTTTTCAAATCCAATAAAATATGCATCAATTAATATGGGTATCATGGTAAATTATGCACTTCATTTATTATTTCTTAAGGGGTGTGAAAAGTCAAAATGTGTCGAGTAAAAGTGAACGGAGGGAGTAAATGTTAAAGTTAAATTACTTGGTTTGATAAAAATGACGAGTGCAAATTAGTATTTGTCGTATAAGCATCAGGTGTGAATAAGTTATTTACGGTTTAACTTTTGCAAGTTTGAGGTCATGTATACTCCTTTGCTCTTATTAATTTGTCAAAAAAAGGGGTATTATCACTTTTAACGCGCGCCAGAAACTATTTACATTCGGTTGCCGAAAAAATGTATAAAATTTGTATAATTTTTTTATATAATATATCGAACGCGTGTGTGTATACTTTAAAATATACATATTTTCTGTTAATATTTTGAGAGCGGCTATAAAGTGTGATTTATTCGTTTACTAAAAAAAAGTTGATTATTTTTGCTAATTATAGGTAACAAGAATGTTGAATATTCAAGGGCCAGGTGTTAATTTAGGTCAAATTTGCAACAAACCTGAAATGGAGCTCAATCGTCAACAGCCGTTCGTTGTGGATCAGATTTCTTTAGGATCAGAAACTTTCCATAGATTTCAGTACCCATTGGGCCAGTTGCAACAGGCCCAGCCCATATTCTCACCTAATAATGGATTGGGCTTTGTGAATCATTTGGGCCTGGGCCCAATAGGTATTCCGGATCTAAATGTTACTGTGGATGAGCCCATACCTTTTGATCTTGACAGAATAAATGTTGAGAGAAAGGCCCAATTTGCTGCAGCTAGGAGGAGGAGAATAAATAAAAGAATAGAAATTAGGAATGTCTCTGGTTTTATAAGACCACAAAGAAGAAGATAGTGGTAATATTGTCTTTCTTAAATTCCTTTTTAACTATAGAGTTATATGATTTTTTTTGTCAGTGGTAAAAAAAGCCAATTGAGCAAAGCTCTTTTTTTGGGCCATATTGCTAAGTGAAACTGTATCGTATATTAGTTATAAAGAAGTTGGTGAGATAATATGATTTATATACTTTTCATCTATATTCAATCTCAAATGAGTAAATATATAAGCAAAATATTTGCCTGAATTTAGGTGGGGTTAGCAGGAAAATATGTAATTGTACATTGCAAGGTTTTACTTTCGGATATAAAATGCATATGGGAGTAGATTTAGGCGTAAGTAGACGGGCAAAATTCCAATTGGTTATGTTTATTATAAATACTTAGTAGGCGAGACTTGAGAGGAACAATCTAATTGGATAGCAGCAACCAAGATAATTAATTCGCGATATTTATGGTTTGAATGTAATTTTGTTAGCAGTTGAATTATTTTTACATAACCTTTTGGTAATTTTTAATGCTTAAATTGTGCAATTTTTTTTCTAAACCAAAAACCTTAAGATCAATGGAAGAGAAAATTGATTTCCCTCGATGTGTCTTTGGGCTGAGACGGTGTCACTTCGATTGATTTTGTTCTGTCTTAAAGTAGTTGGATATAATCATTAACAGTTGTGTTGTGGTGGGATAAATAGGATCTCTGCATAATTAATCAAAGTTCTCGAATTTGAGTCCTAGAATATAAAATCTTGGTGGAGGTGCTTTCTCCTTGAATGAACCTTAAGCAATATGAATCTAAATTAATCGGATTTCGATGCAGGTATCAAACATTCGGTGAGAAACTAAAAAATAAACGATATACTCTAAAAGAGTAGTTGCATACTCAATATGCCCTAGTCTAACATGATTATGTTGCGTTTTCTGTTAGTTTGATAAAAAATGAAAGAAGGGTATGCAAATGACGACAATATTATTCAGGATATGAGAAGATCGAGCGATGTTTTTTCCTTATACTTCCATGGCTCTGATGCGTATGTCCCTTCCTTTATTTTTTTACTCTTTTATCTTCGCCTATTTTTACTAATAATTTACACAACTCGAGGTGAATATTATTTCTTTCTTTTTTTAAAATTTAGCTTTCGGCTTCTGCTTTCTTTATTGATGAATTTAAAGCGCACTTGCGGTATAAAGTTATCTATCGAAAATTATTAAGAAGGAATAACGAAATTCAAGTTTATTATACAAGTTTTGTTAAATCTACGGCTCATTAAATTGCAAATAATTATTTGCAAGAGGGCACAGAGAATATGATTTATATTTTGTACTTTGGGTAATATTAGGTGTTTTCCGGGAGATTTTATGATATCTTTGACCAGAGGGAACTCACGGACTATGTCTTTAGTCTAAGTATTATTAAATAATTACACTAATTATAAATATTAGAGTGGTTGCAGGCAAAAAAAAAACTGCTACAAAATGTATTTGTGATTTTAGTAATGCCGGTGGTTCTTTTGTTGACTGTTACACTCAACACAGAAGCAAAAATAATATTTTTTTGGCACAAACATTAAGTTTAGAAATACTAATAAAAAGGGGAAAACATATCTATCAGACTATCACTAGTCAATCACTCTATCCCAAATAAAAATAAATTTCTAGTTGGTTGACAATAATGGTTCTTACAGAAAATTCTGAATGTCTAGGTTGCAAGAATTTTTGGCGATAATTTAAAATATAAAGTTTGCTGAAGATAGAGTTTAATTCTAATCTCGAAAAAGACTCAAAAACTCCAAAAGAAAGACTCGGTTTCCATTTCTATTAATTTCATTGTGAGGATGAGAGTAAAAGCACAAAGGGTGATGTCGTGCACTTTTCCTTTGCTGTGTTCATTGGTTTTATTGGCTCATAGTGTATCTACTGTTCAAGTTATCTTTCTGTTGTACCTCTTTACCTCGTATCACCCCTCAGCATGTTGCCCCCTCCCAATATTACTTGTTTAGTTCTTTACTGCTATTTGTATATACACCGTTATATTGTACAGGTTGATTGTAGGTGTCTTGTCTTAGCCTCGTCACTACTTCGACGAGGTTAGACTCGACACTTACCAGTACATGGTGGCGGTTGTACTGATACTGTACTCTGTACTTTCTGTACAGATTTTGGTACTGGACCGAGTTGACCCTGAGTTTAGCTACTAGCTTCATCTGATCGGAGAACCAAGGTAGTCATGTTGGCGTCCGCAGGCCCTGGCGTCCCCTTCCATACCTCATATTTTACCGTTTTTTTATTTCGCAAACAATTGTATTTTCCTTCAGACAAATATTTGTAATAAAATTTTAGAATGTTCGTGAATTGTGACTCCAAATTTTGGGTAGTTATGTAAAAATATTTGGGTTACTATGAATTTCCGCACACCTCTTAATCTGTTATGGTTCAATTGTTGTTAATTACTGCAAGGTTAAGAGTTAGCTTAATGTTAAATCATTGGAATGAGAAGGAATTGGCTAATAAATCTCTAACGTTGGCTTGCCTAGCAAGTATAATGTTAGGCGCCATCACGGTCCTGACAGTAAAAATTTCGGGTCGTGACAAGTTAATGTAAAAAGTGTTATAAGAAAAATCAAATTATGGTGGATGTCTATTCTTCCTCCATGATCTTTTAAAATGCTTAATGACATATTCAATGACATATTTTTCTTCACTTTTCATGTCTATATAAAGGCCTTGTAATAGATAGGAAAATATACACAATTGAAGAAGAAAATCTCTTCTTTCTCTCTATCTCCATTTCTTTTTCGTGTTTTACTAAATTGTTTTTATTTCATAACAACATGTCTTGTTCATGTTTTACTAAGTTGCTTTTATTTTATAACACGTTATCAGCACGAATTACTCATTTCATGATCTTCTACGTCAAGACTATGTAAATTATAAGCAGGAAATGAGATCAAGTACAATGAAAAATGTCTTGGATGATAATACAAAGATAAGTTTTACATCCATCTAAACTCATTCATACTTTCATATCTTTGCATTAACTTTATGTGTAGTGTTTAGTAAAAATATTTTTTTCAATTGTATCCAGTGAAATAAAGAACTGGAAAGGTATGTCTTTATTTGCTACATCTCTTATAGGACAAAGATAATATTCCAACGTATATATATATGTTCTGACCTTTTACATACTATGATAGATAATTATTAAGGTAATTTAGTAATAATATTTTTACCATAACATGATGTATTTCATTGAAAATAAAATTGGCATATATACTAATGAAATACAATATGTTATGCCAACGCATTATCTATCAACGCATTATGGCCTAGCATGCCTTTATATGGGTAAAGCATTGGTTTTGAGTCCTAATGCACCATATTGATAATAATAATAATAATAACTAAAGAAAAAATAATGTAATTTTCATGAAAAAGCATGAAGCTTGTCCCACTTGATTTGCTCTATTCTTGAAGTGAATGTAATAGCAGTGCATGATAAGTCTAAATAAAGACAAGTGGTTGACCAATGAATGTGGGCGTGCGAAAGGCCAAAATAATAATAGTTATCACTATGGTAATTATAAAAAGGGAGAAATTCTTTGAAGAGAATGTGACTTGTGATAAACATTGAGATTGCATACTCATTCCTGAAAGTGAATGTGAAAATATATATATGATAAAGATTATGCATAATAATGTACTTGTGCATAGTTGGATAAATACTACAACTCACCTCTAAGGGAGGTTTGAGACAAAGAAAGATAATGAATATTATTGTGTAGTTACATGAATATATCATTGGTCGCATGCATATGATACGCCAAAAATATTTTGTCATGCCTTATGAAAGTTATTAAAAGCAAAATTAAAGCAAGAAATTATTTTGCTTGTGATGATTTTGAACATGACAATTATTATGATATGATTCTCTTTGTGAAGGAGACATTCAATATATGGATGGTGTGACAAAGGATCTTGTAATACAAAAGCAGTTAAGAGTTCTGAAAGAACTAATTTATTATTATTCGGATGAATGAAATTGTTCATGACATTAATATTGTAGTAAGTACCAAAAGAAATATTTTGATTTACAAATATATTAGCCAAAGTGGTTGGCATATTAAGATTATAAATGAAAAGAAGATTGAATATCTTTATATTACTATAATCATACCGGGTAAATATGAAAGGTTACCTGACTTTTCTTCTATTTGTACTACACAAGTATAAGCATGATGATGCAATCACAAGCCACAAGTAAACTAGAGGTTTACTGAAATAAATATTAGTTGGCATGACCGGTTGACCATCTCGGTCCAATTATGATGCGAAAAAATTAATTGAAAATTATATTGGCATATATTGAAGAAATATAAGATTCTTCAAAATTTTCTTGTGTTGCTTATTCTCATGATATACCAGTTAAGGTTGGGATTGAATCCTTTGATTTCTGGAACGAATAAAAGGTGATAAATATATGGGCTCAGTCACCTTCCATGTGGATCGTTTACTATTATATGATTTTAATAGATGCATCTATTATATGGTCACATGTGCATTTGTTATCAACTTGTAGTTTGGCTTTTGCAAGATTGATTGCTCAAATTATTAGAGCACAGTTCCAGAATATAAATTATGATGATTTATCTTGATAATACTGGTTTAAATCCAAGTTGGTTTAGCAGAAATTGTATGCCTCCAATTATATCTAAACCATTGGTTATGAGAACAAAATTGCCAAAATAAAATTTGGTATGTGATGTATTATTTAATATACAACAGCACTTGTACGCATCTAGCCAAGTTATGATAAGTTCTCCCTATCACAATCGGTTCAGGGTCAGGAACCAAATAATTTCCATCTAAAAATATGAATGTGCTATATGATTTAATTATTCCACCACAATGCACAAAGATGGATCCCCAAATAAGGCTAGGGATATGTATTGATGATCTCAACAATAGGGGGAGAAAATGGAAAGCTGAAAAAGTAATGCATGTAATAAATTATTATGAGTACATCGAGATCCTCGTACGAGAAAATGTGAACTTGAAGTTCAAGTGATAATTCATTTGTAAAATATTGCCAGACGAATTTGCTGACCCAAAGCTAAATGTCATATTCATCTGCTAATACTCCAAATAAAATAAAGTTCATAATGAATAGAGTTCATGGCATGCATAAAGCATAAT